TATATATATATATATGTACATATATATTTGTGTGTGCATTTGCCTCTATCGAAATTTGAGGATATTAAAACAGACTCCTACACGCATACCTTCACCAGTATGCACATATCTCTACACATATTTATAACTATCTGTCTTTATAAATATATATATTTATATATATATATATATATATTTATATATATATTTATATATTTATTTATATATTTATATATGTTTGTGTGTGTGTGTGTGTGTGTGTTGGGCCGTCGGCAGCGGTGGGTGCCCGTGCGCGCCGCCGACGAGCGGCGGCGTGCGTGTGCCTGCCTTCTGCATTTGCAAAAAAATGAAATAAATTAAAATATTTAAAATAAAATTAAAATATTTAAAATAAAAAGAAAAAGAAAAGGAAAAAGGAGACAGAGAAAGAGGGGGGAGGGCGGGCCGGCGGCGGGCCTCACCACCGCCGCTCATGATCGTCATCAGCACGAGCTGCCTGTACACCTGAGCAGCCTGCAGCATTTGTGTGTTTTTTTTGGTCGTTTTTGAATTTTTTTTGGATATTTCTGCATAATTTAAAGATATAAATTGAATTAAAACATAATTTCAGGTTTTTGTTGCAGTTTAAACCGCCAAATTACACCCATCAGCCAATGGTCCGGTGGCCTTGGCGGCTAGACAGACCGGCGGTCGGCGGCGGTGCTGGGGTGTATAGGCAGCTCGTTATACATATTTTCGGGTGTATAGGCAGCATCTAGCTGTTGAAATAGAATATTTTTATAAATTAAATTGTAAAAAAAAGGTTTTTAAGCGTATAAAAAGGCAAATAAAAAGAAGAGACATCCAGTGCAGCACCGGCACCAGCAGCAGCAGCAGCAGCAGCAGCAGCAACTGCAGCAGCAGCAGCAGCAGCAGCAACGGTGAGGCATCACCCCTGTGCTGGCTATCGAGTAGACAGCCAAAGGGTCCGTTGCAGCTGTTTGTGGTTGTTGTTTGTTCTCAACACTTTAGTTTTTTTCTCTCTTTTTGTATAATTTATACATTAAAACTTTTGTTTCTTTTTCTTTTCTTTTTCTTTTCTGTTTCTTTTTCTTTATATCTCTATATACACCCATCACCAAGATGACGATGAGACGCAGAGATACAAGGACTTTCTTCCTAGCTGTGGCTAGCAGCATTGTTGCTGCTGCTTGGATAGATACTGTATCTTCTTTCTCTCCCTCTGCTGCATCTTTGTCTCTCTCTCCGGATAGTATAAACAATCAATATTCTGCTGCTGCATACGACGATGAGTCTAACCAAGAGCTTTCTTTTCTCGCTAACAACGCCGATGAAGCAGCAGAAGATATCTCCTTTGTGGAGGCAGCAGCAGGAGGGGGACCGGGCGAAGGTGACCCCAGCAGCAGCAGCAGCAGCAGCAGCAGCAGCAGCAGCAGCAGCAGCAGCGGGGAATCTGGCGATGAACAAGAAGAACCACAACCACCTGCACCCAGGAGACCAGCAGCAGGCCAGAAACGAACCCTAGAAGCAAGAGAAAGATATCTAGCTGCTGCAGCAGCAGCAGGAGAGGGCCCATCAGCAGCTAAGCAACGCCGCACAGCAGCAGCAGCAGCAGCAGAACCATCAGCAGCAGGACCATCAGGAGCAGCACCAAGAAGGTGGGACCTCCCCCGTACAGGTGCAACAGCAGCACTAAGACAACAAGCAGAAGAGAGAGAAAGAAGAGTAAGAGAAGAAGCACAAGGCCTCAATGTACCCAGACACGAGGGGAGAGCAGCAGCAGTAAGAGAAAGAATAGGAGCCCTCGTAAGAGAAGGAAATAAACTAACAGAGAAAGAAAGGAGACAAAGGATGCTTAAAGAGTATATGGAGCTGCCGAGTGTACAAGAGAAAAGGAGACAGTTAGATAGAGAAGCGGAACGCAGAAGAGTGTAAAGTGCTGCAGCAGCAACAGCAGCAGCAGCAGCAGCAGCAACAGCAGCAGCAGCAGCAGATTGGGGAGAGACAGCTTTTTTAGAGCTCTTTTGCTGCTTGCTGCCGATACATAAAAAAAAACAATATATTCTATATAAAGATAAACACATGCATGCATGTGTTTATCTTTATATATAAATGCATGCATGCATGCATGCATGCATGCATGCATGCGTGCGTGTGTTTATCTTTATATAAATGCATGCATGCATTTATTTTAATATAAATGCATGCATGCAGCTATATTCACATGCATGCACGTGCATGCACATGCATGCATGCACATGCATGCATGCATGCATGCATGCATGCATGCATGTATGGATTTAAATGAATTGTTTATTTATTTTAATTAATTATTTATTTATTTAAGTTGAGAAAAACGGAAAAACGAAAATATGCTGAGACAAATAAAATTATATTTAGGAGGCATAGACTATTATACAGCTAGCTAGCTAGATAGATAGATAGCTAGATAGATAGATAGATAGATAGATAGATAGATAGATAGATAG